AAAGCATCAATGTATTTTCACTTAAACAAGCAGCTGTTTTTATGTGCATTAAAGTTATATAAAAATTACCAGTGCAAATGCAAATTACTTGCTGACAGTTTAACCCAGGGGTCAGCAACCTTTAACACCAAAAGAGCCATTTGGACCTGGTTTCCACGCAAAAGAAAACACTGGGAGCCACAAATACTTTTTGACATCTAAAATGAAGATAACACTGTATATATTGTTTTTTTTACCTTTATGCTTTGTGTGAACAACTAAGGTGTGTTGCTTATGAAATCCTTGAAGTGCTACAGAGAAAATTACATTTTATTTATGTAATTAACACATTTTGAACTCTTAAAGAAATATAACAAAAGGAAAGACACCCAGCTGAACTAAAATGATCCGTGTAGCAAACAAAAACTGTTATATCGCCTTTGGGCTTTTGGAGCCTTGACCGGACTTTTAAAAAATAATTGGAAAAAAGCACTATGCTGCTAAAAGATGAAAAACAGATATTTGCAAAATTCTGCCTAAATATGTATTTTACCTGGTTAATGTATGTGGTGGGGCATCGTCTGCAGCGCTGCTGCAGGGTAGGCGACACACCTGAGCGGCACCCACAATCACGCCTCGCCGTATTTACGTCTGTGCTACCTATGCTGTTGTGTTGGTGTGTGTCGGGCTGTGAGCTGAAAAGCTACAGCCGGCTGTATGCGTACAGCAACCGTGTGTGAAAAGTGGTCAATAAAGAGATGCTGAAAAGCATGTTCATGGAAACATTGTCGGGTCTGCCTTGATATGTTTACAATGGGACTTCTGGTCCTGAACCTCTGCGCACAGCGTCTGCAAATCGGGGCTTTTATCTTTACGCAGGACCGTAAGCTGTCATCTGTGAGGCGTGAGCGGTGTTTGTTTGTAACATAGTTCACGGTGGAGAATAGCTGCTGACAATGTGGATCCGAAGTCTCGATGTATGCACGACGTTTCGGCAGGTATACCGGCTTCCACGAGTGTGACTCTTATTTTGAGCGATGAAAAAATAATAGAATATAATTTTATTTTTATATTTCTAAAACTACAAGTTAAAAAAGAACTAACATAAATAAAATACACTTCAGCTAAATACTTCTAATTTATTTTCCCAAACCACCCGGAGCCACACTTTAAGGACTAAAGAGCCTCATGCGGCTCCGGAGCCGCAGGTTGCCAACCCCTGGTTTAACCAAAAGGCATTTCCAGGGGAAAGTGGCCGACATATCCTCAGCATAACCATGTAGAATATCCACAAAACTTAAAAAGAGGTTATACACACACAATACCGTAATACTGTGTTGAAGCACAGTACGTATCACTCCGTGAGGCGCCTGCCTACGATAGCCGTAATGCTCCGACAATCCATCAAGCGGGTTCGTAGCTTAGCAAAGTCGTACTAAAACATTTGACAGATTTTCGAGCGCTGTGTACCACATAAAATCGTTTCGAGGTCAGTAAACACAACCAGAATTCAAACATAAAGCACACGGGATTATAAGAGGCACTGTCGATTTTCAAATCAAAGGATTGATTTTAAGTGTGCTGTATCTTCCAAAAAACACAGTAATAACAACGGCCTGCTAGCATGCTCTACCAAAAATAGTGCTTTGTTGAATAAAAGCCAAACCAGTTCCACACCACTGAAGTTGCAGCATTTTTACAAACCAATTCTGGTTCATCCGTTTCATTCAACGATCCGCTTTCGCCCTTTTCATTCTCCGTCGCCGCCATGCTTTTTCCGCCATGTGTGTATGAAAACAAAGGCACTGCACATGCGTGTTTTACCCATATTCTATCGCGATATTTCATTTTCTTATCGTTGCCCAACATTATACCGGTATTACCGTGAACGGTATGATATGGCCCAGCCCTACTTACCACCACATATTTTAAATACAACGAGGGTTTCTACAGACAAAACATGGATGTGGAAAGATCACTCTATCGAGGATGCCAATGTTCACATTTTGGACAGAATGGGACAGGATGGTTTGAAAGAGGAGTGAAAGAAGTCATCTACGCCCACTGTGAATGACCATCCTTGAACAGAGCGGGTGGCTATGATCCAGTTTTGAGACGCGTTAACACCCACTCATATCTTGGGCCTTCTGACCTCAGTAAGTCACATGATAGGGTGGGGCTATGTTTCACAATGGGTTCACCCGAAACCTTGGCTGATAGTGACCAACACCTGTTTTCACACCTTGGCTTGGCAGAGGATCAATAGGGGGTCCGTGACCCTCTTGGGGACACTCCCAAAAGGTCTTAAAAATCTGTGACTCTCCACCATTTTCTCTTAGAACTGAAGAAGCCTATTGGATTAGAGGTGAAACGTCTTCAAGAAACATAACAGAGTCCCGATGCTTTTCTTTCCAAGCTGCTTAGATTGGTAACTGAAGAAAAAAGCATTCTCACTGTCTTCACTGAGGTTTTGGATGAGTTAATAAATGAATGAAAATCTGGAATGTTTGTGTGTATACTGTGACACTATGAGGTGAGTGTTGAAGATGTTTTTGAACATTTGAAAAATAATATTATTCTTATTTCTGAAGCATCAAGAAAAAAATGTCTTGATGCATGCTTAATCATCAACCAAAAGACTGATTTTGTTCATCTGGATGTAACGTTTTCAGTGGGAGAAACATTTGCTGCAATCACAGCGTTGTAAGATAGTGAAAGATGTACCAAACACTGGTTTGAGCGGGGTGGTGGTGGTCTTTGATCAGTGGTTGTTGATCGATGGTCATGACAGTTTGATCAAGGAACTGACTTCAGAACAATGTCAGTAATTTCTGTAATTCAGCTTAATTTGGGTTTATGACCATTAATATCTTTTAAATGAATTTATTTTTTTATTCCATACTCTTTGTTTAATCCAATATCTTCTGTAACAACTAATAATTTTAACTTATTTTTTCCTTTAGACACAGAATAAAACATTAGCTCCAGATGTTCTGAATGGGTAAAATAAATGTAATATTCTCTCAGTGAGATCAGATGTCACATTAACCTGTAGCAGCACAGAGTGCATGGAAGAGTTAGTTAGTTCACCTGTAGACACATATGTTTGAGTATGAATATGTTTGTCCTTTCATCAAGAATATGTCAAAGCGTTTAGTCATCTTAAGCTCACGCAATATGTCAGGAAGTAGTCTTTGTTTCTGCATTGATACTAAAAATTAAGTGTTGCAGATAAAGAACAACACAAATTTAGTGAACTTTGAGTTTGACAGTGAACATTTGTTGATATGTGGTGTGTATAGCAGCGTATATAACAGCCACTTGAAGCTTTTGCCAAAAGTGAATCAGTTCCTGTAGAGTCACATGTTAATATAACGAACTTCAGATATGAAATTAACATGTTTCATGCCTGGTAAAAACAAAAAACAAAAAATCAATTGTGTTGGTTTCTATGGTTATTTTCCCACCAATTCATTTTTTGTACCAACTGTACAAAAGACCTTACCTGTGTGCTGCTATACACACTGGGTTTTCACACTGTGTTGGACAGGTCCATGTTTCAGATAAAAACTCAGATGTTTACAGTAGATGAAAGCCCTGTGGTGCTTTCCAGGGTTTTCTCACTGCTGATTTTGTCTGTCCTGTGTTTCGGTGTTTACTATAAACATGAGTTTCCTTCTGCCCTGTGTACCCATGATGAATACATGCGGGACATGATGGACATTAACACTGGCACCAATACATACACACTACATACAACCAACTGCAAACAACCATAACAACAACAACAAACAACCATTTACTTTTACCTAGTACTAAATTCTTTGTGCAAATCTCTAAAAGAAAAAAGAAAAAAAAGAATTGTATGTCAGTTTTTGTGTGTTATCCTTACATAAAGTCCAATCATCTCTACAGTGGCCCAGATGGACATCACTAATTGCATTTTATGTATGTGGCAAGAAACCAACCACATAATTACTAAGCCAAAGGTAAGGTAGAAAAGAAATCCTGCTTCATGTTTATGTTTCAGACAGATGACAATTAGCTGGCTAAACAATGACAACAGCAAACAGCAGCAAAAACAACAGAAAACTTCAGGATATTCTCAACAACTTAGCTAAGTATAGATGCATCAAACAGAAGTGAACTTCTGACTCATCAACTTGTATCTGACTCCTTTTAAAAGTGCATCTTAAACCCTCTGTGCTGTTATATCTATCTGGTATGGCTAGCATATGTTCCTAACTTGCAGGAACTCTTGCCAGGTTCCATGTTCTGCCATTGCTGTAAAACCAACCAAAAAAAAACCCCAGTATAGTATCCATCCATCCATCCATTCGCTTCCGCTTATCCTTTTCAGGGTCGCGGGGGGCGCTGGAGCCTATCCCAGCTGTCATAGGGCGAAAGGCGGGGTACACCCTGGACAGGTCGCCAGTCTGTCGCAGGGCTAACACATAGGGACAGACAACCATTCACACTCACATTCACACCTAGTGACAATTTGGATTAATCAATTAACCTATCCCCACAAGCTGCATGTCTTTGGACGGTGGGAGGAAGCCGGAGTACCCGGAGAGAACCCACGCAAACACGGGGAGAACATGCAAACTCCACACAGAAAGACCCGGCCTGATGGAGGAATTGAACTCAGGACCTTCTTGCTGTGCGGCAACAGTGCTAACCACCGTGCCACCGTGCTGCCCAGTATAGTACAGTCTTCAATTTTTAACTATGGGTTTCATTAAAATAAAAATACAAATAATAATATTAAATAAATCTCCTTGTACACAGAAACTAAATATAATTTAATTACAGTGTGAGAAATTATAGACCAGTTTTATTATATTTGAAAATTATCTTTATCCAGTCAAATTAAATTGTTTTAGAGTGTGAGTGACTGCAAAAGAAGCAACAGTGTCGGCTACTTTAAAGCCTCTGGGCATCTTTCTGCAATTGGACACGGTTGCCTAGCAGCAGGCATTTAGGCGGGGACAGTGGAGGCAGTGAGAAGAGTAGGAAAGAGGGGGCGGGGCTCCCTTCCAACTCAGCAGGGGAGGAGGGCTGTTGGGCTGGGCTCCCCAGACTGAAACGCGGCTTTCACGTTGGTGGTAGTAACCCCACTGTTAGCATTGCCGCCCCTTCCAACCCATCTACCTTCCTCTCTAATCAGCGGCTAGTCGGTGGTTTTTAATAGTGCACTCGGTACTAGCGTGGGAAGATGTCTAACGTCAACTGGAAGCCCTTTGTTTTCGGCGGGTTGGCTTCAGTGACGGCGGAATGTGGTGAGTGATGCGGCTAGGCCGAGCAGCGTGACTTCCTGTTGATTATTAATTATTTACAGTGTCGCGTGAGTGTTAATACAATGCTCTGTGTTGCAGGAACATTTCCAATCGACCTAGCCAAGACGCGCCTTCAGGTACAAGGTCAGGTGGGCGATAGCAAGTACCGAGAGATCCGCTACCGAGGCATGCTGCACGCTATAATGAGAATCGGAAGAGAGGAGGGGCTCCGAGCTCTGTATTCAGGGTCAGTAGGACGGACTCGCATGCTAGTGTTGTACGTGGGGTCTCCATAGCCTCGGCTCCCAAACGTAACTGCATTAAGATCTGACAAAGCTTTTCAACAAATTCCTTGTGTGTTTCTGTTTGTTCAGAAATGTTTACACTTCCTCTCTTTCGGTACACTTCCTTTTTTGCTGACAGCCACATCAAAACCTCTTCCTCTACTCTCGAAAGAGAAGCTCTGTTTTAGATTAGCCAAAAACCTTCAGAGATACTGCTGAACTGGGTAATGAAAGTAAACTTCCTTTGTTGCAGGATTGCTCCTGCCATGCTACGGCAGGCCTCCTACGGGACCATAAAAATTGGCACATACCAGAGCTTTAAGAGGCTACTGGTTGAAAGGCCAGAGGGTGAGTCTCAGTTTCTCTTTCTCTGTCTGAAACAAACAAACACACACACCCACACACTCAGCCTGCTGTTTTTGGCAACATGTGCACATTCCTCTTGAAGGTCACAGATGAGGCACAGATGTGCACGTGTGTGACCTACTTAAACATGTATCCTCACTTTTCCTCATCTGAGAGCTCTTTGTAACAGTCAGCGCCTGCAGTGAAACACTGAAAACTGACTGCTGCCCAATATCAAACGCAGCTTGTTCACAGTTACAGCCTGCCTCCCACTCACTCTTCTCTTTCAGACGAGACGCTGTTGACTAATGTGTTGTGTGGCATTCTCTCCGGTGTCATCTCCTCCTCCATCGCCAACCCTACTGATGTGCTTAAGGTAACTATTTACACACATGAGGGTCGTTTCGGATCTTGTGTTCTCTTTATCAGATGGCAGTAGGACATGTCTGACAGGTTTTTGGAACTGTGGTGAGGCCTGGAGCCATTTTTTGCAGATACAGACTGCAGCTTTTTCACTTTTTCACTTTTGTTCTGTTGTATAAGGAGTTGTAGTCTTGAGGAAGCAATGTCTTCTTTTTTTCCCCAAGTCTTAACTTTTGTTAAGTGGAATGAAGGGCACCGAGGTGTCCCTGTGACCTCAATTATGTGTTATTTATAGAGTGAAACCTCACAGTTTTAGCATAGTGTTCTGTAAATGATATGCGTGCAGGACTGCCAGTGCTTGTCTGTGCTCAGACTGTGTCCTGGCTAGGCGTGGCTTTTTTTTAAACTCCTTGTAAGCCACATGACCTTCTGTCTGCAGTCTATTAAGGGTTAACAGGGTAATACACGGGCCTGCTGTTGGAGAACATTATGTTTTGATCACATTGTGTACTAGCTGCGCATGCCAAGCCTTTCACTGAGCCAAGAAATAAACCAGGCCTGATTTGCTAACAAGTCAAGGATGGGCTGGAGGGTTCTTGGAAGTGGGGATTGGGAAAATACTTTTGAGTACTGAGCTTGCCAAAAACAATTCCAGCAAACTTTTAAATTCCAATAGAAGCCCAAGAAATACACACTCCCCTAAGTTGGCTTTGCAGCGTTACACATCGTTTGTGCACTCTTGCCCTTTTCAAGTTCAACTTCGTAACATTCACCTCTTTCTGTCCTCCCAGATCCGCATGCAAGCTCAGGGAAATGTGATCCAGGGCAGTATGATGGGCAATTTCATTAATATCTACCAGGAGGAGGGGACCAGAGGACTGTGGAAGGTGCAGAGAAGCTTCAAAAATGACAGCAGTATATACAGCATTGATATAGTACAGGCACCCAACTTTGACCTTTTCTCTCTCCGCATCAGGGTGTCTCTCTAACAGCTCAGAGGGCAGCTATCGTGGTCGGGGTGGAGCTTCCAGTCTACGACCTCACCAAGAAGCATCTCATCCTGTCGGGTTACATGGGGGATACCGTGTACACACACTTCTTGTGAGTTTGAACTGGCTCCTCTTTGGCTATCGTGTCATGTGGTGCAATAACATTCAGGAAATTGCTTGCAAGTGGGGCGTATTCTAATACATTCAGGTGGACTCGAGCCAGAAAAACAGATCAAATACAGATTTTGGCTCATTGTTTGAAAGGAAGGGTTTTTTTGTTGTTGTTTTGTTTTGTTTTTTTCCCATAAAAATCCTTAAAATAAAAATGTCTTCCTCAGAATATCTGTTATACAGACAGGTATTGTGCTGTATTGTAGAGATTACTCAGCACTCCCAGCGGAAACCATTTCACAGTATTCCTCTTAGTTATTTCAGGATGTCTACTCAGAGCTGCAGTGATGCCAAGTTTGTACCTGCCAGAGACTTCAGTGATTGTATTTATAGCAGCAAATGCCATGTGGGTACTTGGACGAGGCTGAGAATATTTTCTGTTTGTACTGGTGGTGTACACACTACCATAAAGACTGTTTTTAGTACCAGCAACATAGCTAAGGGACATAATGCATTTACCCTTATGGTCAACAGGTCCAGCTTTGTGTGCGGCTTGGCGGGGGCTCTGGCATCAAATCCAGTGGACGTGGTCCGGACACGCATGATGAACCAGAGAGGAGGAGCGCTGTACCAGGGAACATTAGACTGTCTGCTGCAGGTCAGTCAGAACCCCTGAAACGTGCTTAGATTCTGTTGCCCTCTAGGTAAAGAGTTACTCCATCGATTTTTGAATCAAGTCTTCTCATCATGTAAACACAGACACAGTCTTGAAAAAGAAGGCACTTGGACTGCTTTAAGCTTGTGAAGATATTTCAGCTCTCATCCAAGATGCTTCTTCAGCCCTAAAAACAAATGTAATCGATGTTTCGAAGGAAGATTGATATTTCCGTCTGCAGTAATAATACGGTGCTGTGTGTCTGTTCTGGGACCTTCTCGTCCTTTCATTCATGCACATATATGGAAATTCAGAATCAGCATGAAGGCTAATTTGGAGTAGGGTACAAAGTGGCTTGCAGATGTGCAGCAACTGCGGATAAGGTGAAGCAGCTTAAATGCTGTACTTTATATTTGATTTGTCATTAGAATGTGTAGGAGAGCATCGTCAGGGCTGTCAGCTGGAGTGGATCGAGAATTAGGCTGAACGTCACTTTGTGACTGGCCTGAACTAATTTTGTGCTCTATTTGTATCACATGTAAAATGTGAGAAAATGATCCCTGATGAAAATTAGTGCAGGGGAGACAGTTAAGCAAAAAGAGAGGAGCATTCTGGGAAGTACAGGATCTAGTGGTTTGGGTTTTCATGCAAAAGCCCATCTTTATTGAGCTGTGGAATACTTTTTAAAATGCAGACATCTTCATGACTTTCAGCAGCTGTGAAGTTTAGACATTTCCATTAGTTGGTCATGTATGATTTTTTTTTTTCTTGATGGTACATAATTACTGTCATAGCAAAGTTGAATATCCAGATCAGACCTTAATTTCACTCGTTCTTCAGTTCCTGTAAATAGATGCGCAGAGTGGGTGATCATCAGAGAGTAAAGAGTGTTTGTTTTCTTCTTTCAGACGTGGCGCTCTGAAGGCTTCATGGCCCTCTACAAGGGTTTCTTCCCCAACTGGCTGCGCCTAGGACCATGGAACATCATCGTATCCTTTCCAACTCCACACCGATGTTGTGATCTGTATATATAGATAGATATCCTCTGTGGTGCGACACCTTCTAAACTGTAGGAAATTCTCTTGTGTATTTGCTGCCTTTGTTTCACTGAGGAAGGCTTTGTTAAACGCTCGCTAACTCTTTTATTAACTCTGAAACTACTGCCTCACTGCCCGACTGGTACTGATTAGAGGCAAGTAGCTGCATGTGATGGAAATAGGGAAAGGTGTGGAGAGTGAACATTATCAAAGGCTAAGACTGGATTAAAGGTGATTGAACAGGGAAATAAAGGCTGGCAGATACTCACTGTGCTCCAACCAGGCTTGAAAGATCTAATGAGATTAGTTCCTTTTGCAGCAGAAATTAAAGTAACAAGAGGGACTCGGTGGTGCCACTCATTCTGACCAAAAAAAACAAAGTCCACTCCTCTTTTTTCTTAAGTTCCTTTACTCCAATTTTCAGTTCTTCCTCACCTATGAACAGCTGAAGCAGATCAGCGTGTGATCAGCAGAACAACATGGCGGAGATGAGTGTGAGCGCACGCTCCAAGAGGAGCTGAGAGGACCAAGATTGGGAAAGCGAGCTTGATGGAACCAGCAGGGGGAAAGGGGAACGCACATGTAGACCTGCTTGAAGGGTCAGAATGTGAATTTGCCAGATTCGTGTCTGGAGTGTCTCCTGAAGCCTATGGTGAATGTGGACACAGCACATACACACACAGATCCATGTATTTCGTACTTTTTCTCATCTAAATGCTACGTCAGGCTAAGCAACTTTACATTTGCTATACAATTCCCTCAGATTCACGTGGCCTGATTTACTGACTGGGAACCAACAGTCCCAGGAACTTTGCTTAAAGGTGGCTCTAAAGTCACAGGGAAAACACGAGGCTTCTACACTTTTTAAGTGCTCTATAACCGAGTGCCTTAGTTTGAGATGCGGGGCTGTCTGAGCTCTACGCTGCATAAGGACAGCAGCTGACAATCACCATAATCACTCCCTTTATGAATAGATTGAAAAGATGTTTAGTGTGCACGAGGTGACAAACTTAAATGTGAATATTGTATTTGGGTTTTTTTGTTTTGTTTATTAATTTATGTGTTTCTAAATTTAAAGAGACGGGTGTGTGAAAAGGTAAAATTATTTCAAAGAGTTTTTTCCCTGAGGTGTTTAGCAAAGAGCCGGGAATAATCCTGGCGTGCTGTAATAAATGAGTTTCATAAACAGCTCCTTGTCCATATGTGGTGATTAGTGGTCTCTCATGCCAGCAAGTGGAGACGGTGAGCGTGACCTCAGGCAGCTGAGGGTTGACTGTGCTCCCCGTTATGTTATCATTTGGTCTGCTGGAGGAAAAAAAAGTTACATAAACCTACGTATTATATCAGCTTCAGGTTCAGCCCGCTGAGCCGGCTGCCGTGCCGTTGTTTATGCTTTAAGGCGCCCAAACTGCTGCACGCGAGCCGCAATTAACGCCAAATGTATTTCTATATACTGCATTTGCTGTAAATGTGAGCTTTTATTGTGAGGAATGAATATGCCGCTGGCTGTTATGTGTGCATGCGTGTGTGTGTGAGCTATTGCTGCTGCCAAAGTATAAGCCAGTGTAACTTTTGTTATACCTTGTTGATGTAAATGCTCCATGTATATTTGAAATGATTAAAAATAAAGGACATGGATTTTTCACAGTATTGTCCCTCCCTGGTACCACAGTGTGGCACTGTGGAGCTACACACTCACCTCAGCATAACTGAATACACCAGTATCTGTTTATTATGAGTTGGTTTTTGTTTTTTTTGTTTTAATTCCCCAACCTCAGCTTTTAGGCCACAAATCTAGCACAGTCGTGTTTCTCGGGGATCGCCTGGTTCCTTTCAAACGTGTTCAAGCGGCATCCCACGAACGTTATGAATTTTTCAGGGGGAATATAAGATGTAATTGTTTTATTTCTGTGGGTAAATTCCCCAGTTTTCCCTCATCAGAGCTGTTTGAGGAGCTCAGGGGAGTGGAAGGCGCCGCAGCGAACGCGCAGGTCTCTGCGTGGATCTGTGCCTCGCTGTGTTATTTAGGGAGTGCCACCGCGGGACTTATTACTTGTGTGAGAACTGATACTGTTGGGTCTGCTTCATCTCAGCCACTGAGTCTCAGCGCAGCGTTTGCTGTTGGCGTCCTGAGCGTGGCTGGGTGGAATAGCTCGATTCAAAAACAGTGCAGCAGAGTGTGGCAGGAGGACAGGTTTTAACACTTGGGTACAATCCACCCACAGCACAATTAGACCTCTAGGGCTCGAATCCGTGTCAAATTGAGGTAGAACAAGACTCCATGAGGCGAGGTGTAAAACAGAAATGAGAATAACGTGTGGCTTGATGCCAGGATTCGGCATCTGTAAGTTGGCAATTTAGCCATCTCTGGCACAGTCCTGGACAAGTATGACCACGGGGGATTCCAGCAGTCACAGACATGCTACATTATGGGTATTATTTGCTGCCTGGCCCAAATGTGCGGGGGGGGGGTACCGGCTCTATTGTGTTCCAGGGATCAGAGTGAGCTTTTGTGTCTAAGGGATAAGGCTCTATGCTGCTCCAAAACACCCTGCCCTTTTTTTTTTTCATTTATTTTTTTTCTCTGCCTATCTTTTTGTTCTTTCAGCCGTTTCTCTAATGAAAATGCTGCAACCCACAGATGGACGAGTGGATGGAAATGCAGACAAGGAGACAAATCTATCGTAGTCTGAGGATCCATTCAGAGCAAGAACTCTGGCGCTCATAAGCCCCACTGTGCTGACAAAGACAGAAATCACAGGCCTATTGCCATTTCTTTTTTACTCACACTTATTTTCAGATATGGGACAAATCTTTTTTTTTTTTCCCTTGTATTGTCTTGATGCTTATATTTGAGGGAAAAAAATGAATGACTTCCATCCTGAAAGCACATTGTTTGCAGGTCACGGATTTGGCATAACATCAAAATACTGTGCTTAGAGAGATGTCTGAAACATCTCCCCCCTGAAGGGGGGGAAAAAGTGCAGCCTTCTGTAATTTGAAATCGTGGCTGTGGTAAATATTTTGATAAATTGCACAGCCATACACTGCCCGCGAAGAACAAGCTGACAAAGTGAGGCTTTGGAAGTGAGGAACACAATAGATCGTGCAAAGATGTCAGCTTATTCTTCAGGAATTCTTCCCTGCAAAACCACAAAGATAATTTCGGAGTACATTTCAGAAAAGAAAAATTACAGCAAACCGCTGCAGGATAAGAGAATAAAAAAGAAAACAAAAACTGACATTTTGGGAAATACACTTATTTGCTTTCTTGCTTGAAATTAGATGACAAATATCACTCTGCTGTCTGTAAATATGGGGCTGAAGCCAGCATTTGGTTAGCTCAGTACAAAGCTTTCAAAGTATTTGTGCATAGTATTGCACAAAAGTCTTGAGTTACCCCTGGTTGCTTTAGATTTTGCTTCCAAGGAGATGGACTTGTGGTCTTTAGCAAAACGTTGTTGAAAGTTTTCTTTGGACCTTGGCTGCTTTTTCACTCATTTTCAGTCCATTTACAGAGGAATGTTAATGTGAGCCACTTAACTGACCTTATGAATCATTCAAGCAAGGAAAAGGCAATAACAAGTGATGAACCAGTCTACTGTGTACACATAGCAGAAAGCTTAGCAAAGAATTTATTTTAAATTGTATCTTTAAGCACTTCTCACAAAAACACACAATTTGTTCCCATTTCTTTGTTTGCATCTATGGAAAAAATCTCAAAGATAACACACCGTGACAGGCATGAAATGGTATTTAGCAGTCTCTGAAAAAGAACTACAACAGATGAACTGAAAGTATCTGAATGTCAAAAAGGAAGAAAAATCCAGCAAAGACCTGAGACCAGGATCTGAGAGCTGCTTTCTTTAGAAAGGAAAACAGGGAGAAAAGGCTGAACTGGACTGAAAACCAGTGGCAATAGGTCTTATGGAGTGACGAATCAGAATTTGGTCGGGAGAGAGGTCAAGACTAATAGAATTATAAACACTGCCAATGCAGTAAAAGTACATCTAGATAGAAGAACATACATTAAAACACTATCAGTCATGGATCGGCCTCCCCAGAGCCCGGATATCAACATTGCTGAAGCAGCGTGGGATCATCTAAAGGCAGCCAACAGCCAAAGAAGAGCTTTGAATGTCCTTCAAGAAGCCTGGAGAAGTATTCCTGAAGAATACCTAAACTCATTAAGTATGAATGAAACATGGATGTTGTTTTGTCTAGTTTAAACTTTGGTTGTACTAAAAGAAACTTTGTAAGGGGCAGCCGTTCACTACCTACTCGCCAGTGTTGTCATCCTTTTAAATACAGATTCTTTCCTTCTTTGACTTGATCATCAAAAGGACACAATTCGAGAACGGCGCCTCCTTTTTCTGTTACTTTTATAAAAATCTTCAAGTGCCTGACTCAACCGTCCATATTGACTGAAACTCCTTTTCCAAACAAACAACAGGCTCGCTAGATCACAGCGCGGTCGACCTACATTCACACACCACTGGAAGGGGACTGGAACCCCAGGGAGACAGGATCACAAGGATGAGCCGCTGGTAATGCTGCTCCATTGTTCCATTAAGATGAGAACGGGCCAACAGAGTGAATGTTAAAGGAGATAAAGCGTGGGGAGATTTGTTCCGCATGCTGACTTCTTTCACTCTAAGGCTTCAAGAGTCAGGGGAAGTTAAGTCATGTCACTTGTGAAGCTTCTTGACGTCTTTATAAAAGTTAAATGACCTGTTAGTGTGTTCTGCTATTTTCAAAAGAACAGTTTGACATTTTGGGGACTATACAAATTCCCTTTCTTGCAGAGAGTTAGACAAGAAAATTCATCACACCTGAGCCCATGTGCAAATAGCCTGTTCAAAGCCTATTGATGTCATGGGGATGAATCGAGCTGAAAAGCTTTAAACGATTATTTACACCTTCTGTTTTTTAAAGCATGATATTATTGATTATAGGCCAGAACTGAAATCAAACATGATCTTTCCTTTTTAAAAAAAAAAAATACAGCATCAGATTCGGGATACAGATCATTAGTGGATGATTTTGTGGTGGTCTGGGAGGAATCTTTTGCTGCTGAATGTGAATAAGAGCAGAGATGGTGATTGTCTTCAGGAGGAGGATGACAACTGTGTTGCTACGTGTCTATCCTGGAACAGCATGCCAAGTACCTGGGCATCCACGTCCACAACAGGCTGAACCAGAAGACCAAAAAAAAAAAAAGACACAAGCAGGCTTGGGTTCTTAAGAAAGCCAAGTTCGTTCAGTGTATGATGGAGGTTTTCTGTGACTGAGTTGTGGTAAGCCCAATGTACTTTACTGTGGTGTACTACGGAAGCACTGCTTTGCAATTTTTCCTCGTAAATAAAGCAATTTATTGCTTTCCTGTTATCTAAATTTAGACAGTTTACAAAATATGACTGGATTGATGTGGCTCCGCCCCCCCCCGTGACCCTGATAAGGACAAATGGAGGAGAATGGATGGACGGACTGGACTGAACAGAGCCATCACAGAGCTCTTGTCAGACTCGTTCTGCTTTGTGTAATTCCCAAGCATAAACACTAGGCAGAGCTCATGCACTTTCTTCCCACTAAGACACAGGAGCTGAGGTGTAAACACACCATCTGCCTGTCCCCAACAGCTAGACTCTGTCTCCACCTCCGTAACCCGCTCAGTCACAGCTCCCTCATTAATATCCCAGTTTCTGATAAGGAATAAATATTCAAATATGCAGCGGTATCAGTTTCCTTGGACGCCTGATTTAAAATTCCCTGCCCTCAGGCGCACAGGCACAGCATGCCCACAGAGTACACACAATCCATACAAAAAAACCCCACTACACACACACACACACACACACACACACACACACACCAAAACAACACAACACCACAAACACCAAAACACACAACAGGGGGTCTGATGTATCCCAGTGGCCTTAGTGGGATTGCTAGCTGACACCAGAGCCCTCCCACATACTGTGTGAAGCTGCTGTTCTCCACTTCTGTTTATCTCTGGCATTTTTTTTTTAAAGAGGCAGAGGCAATGGGGGGTAAAGTGAGAAGAGTTGGGAAAGACAGGTGAAAGACTTAGGTGGGGAATGGGAATAAAAATGAACTGATGGAATGAGATGTTAGATGGAGTCAACGGGGGAGATATGGGAGGGGGGAACTTTATTGGAACTCAGCTGGCATGGAAGCCGGGGGTGAGCCTGCGTAGAAAGAGAATAGAAGATGACAAGAGGAGAAGGGATCGGTAGGAGAGAGGAGAGGATGCAACACATGTCCTGATTCTCTGCTGTGCTCCAATTAGCATCTATATGAAGCCCGCTTGTCAAGCCGCTGTGCCGAGGACTCGAGACACAAATGCGCCACAAGACGAAGGCTTATTGGTCCTGACATTATTTGACTTGAGAGTGGTGTGAGAAAATGGGTAAAACTGGAAAGATTGGGGTTTTCTGGTGGTGCCTGATGCCTGCAAATATCAGCAGGTGGAATATTTACTCTCAATCTGAATGTGAAAAGAAGGAAAATCAATGTAAGCAACAGGAAGAATACTGCCTTAGAAGGATGCCTTATTTTCAATCATTAAGGTGCTTGTTAAATTGAGGAGACTAAAAGGAGAACCTGAATCACAAGTAGATCCAAAC